GGCAGGATGGTGCGGACGAAGGCGGGGGGCGGCGGCTGCCGCAAAGGTGCGGGCCGGGCTGAGGGGGAGATGGGACTGGGGCGCTGTTCTGTGGCGCCGTCGCTCACCGTTTCGCTCTCCCTGCAGTGCTGGTCGCCCGCGCTCCACGGAAGGTGCTGGGCGCCAGCAGCCTCAACGCGGGACCGTCGCCGGCCGCTAAGAAAGGTGAGAGCGGGGCTCTCCTCTTCCTCCTCCTTCTCCCTCCTCTCTCCATCCCCCCCGGCCTGCGGCGGGGCTGACGGCCGCTCTCCCCGCAGGCCAGGGCCTCCGCGGCGGAGGAAACCCGGTGTGCGTGCGGTCGGTCCCCGCCTGGCAGAGGGGCATCGGCGAGTTCCTGCGGCTGCCGCAGAAGGAAACCGTGCGCCCAGCGGAGAGGCGGTGGGGAGCAGCGGCCCGGGTCCGGCCGCTGAAAAGTAGGTGTCGGCCCCCCGGGCTTCGGAGGCGGGTGGGGCAACCCCTCTTTGTTTCTCCTCAGCCCCACCCGGGAAAGGCCGAGGCTTTCCCAGGAGCGGATTTAGTCGCTGATGTGCTCTCCGCCGCGGAGACAGCGCTGCAGGGCCCCACAGACCGAAACTGCATTGAGGTGGGGGTGTAGGAGGTGCAGAAGTGTCGTACCTTGGGGCTAACGGACAGGGAAGAGGCACTCGGTGCATCAGAGAGGCAAAATGCAACGTGAACCCGGTTTGTACAGCGCTCGGCTGTAGCCTGGCTCTCCAGACACGCTGCCTGAACTTAAAGTTCACTTCCTTAAAAAACAAAACAAAACAAAAAAACAAAAAACCACCCCACCACTAAAAAGCTTTCTGAGCTAAAACTGCCCGCAGAGCAGGGGCGGTGCAGCAGCTGTCCTCGCTGCAGCGGGTTCTCCGTGGTGTTGGTTTAAAGCGTGTGCTGGTGGTGGTCCGTAGGGTGATGCTGAACAGCAAAATCCTGGCACTTCCAAACCGTGCGGACTGCGGCATGCCTGGCTGCCTGCGAGGGGTGCGCTGAGGGCTGGCAGGGCCACCTGGGATGGAGCGAATTGTGACTAGTTTTCCTCTGTGTATGCTTTGAAACTACAGTTTACTTTTGAAGGAGCAAGCAACCACTGAAAAGTTGACGGTGTGTCTCAACCTTCATATCTTCATTGAAATAGAGTTTCTCGGCAAATCCTGGTAAAACGCTGCATCTGTCTCCACTGCCTCGTGATGGTTTTCTAAAAATGGGTGGAGTAATTGGTAGCTCAGGCAAATTCTCTGTGCTCAGACATACTTTTGTTTGCATGTGACACTGTGGCTGTCAGCTCTGTTTCAGAAAATCTTAGGAGACTGCTAGTGACTTCTGTACATCAGAAATTGAATTGCTGTGCCAAGCTCACTTCAAAGATTAATTGCACTATTGACTAAAATTGTAGCGGTGTGAAACATTGTCTTACAGATACTCTATTCTCCAATGCCAAGGGTTGGTGGTTTTTTTTTCACCAAATATAGATAATCCTAAACTGTCTGGGGGGCACCTGTAAGAATTACTCCTGAATAGTCTTGAAGGACAAGCAAAGAAGGACTTCTAAGGACACCCTGCTGCCTGGAGAAACAAAAGATGTGCACTCGAGTGCTGCAAAACTTTCATCTCTTCCATTTGGAATTTGGTTGAGTAAGGACCAGGCAGTGATAACCCTGCAGAGAACACACTGCGTCACCATATAAAACAATTTACAGCTTCCCAGTATGTTCTGGAAGAAGAAGAGTTGTACTCGCTTAACTGCACAAGTGGGTTTTTATCAATCATGCAGCTAAGTTAGCCAGGTTGGAACTTAGGCATGAAAAGAGTTAAATTTTCAGCTTCTTAGAGATGGTGTGGAACCTGTGTGTGTCCCACTGGGTTGAAAAGGAGGTGCAGAGAGTGTCTGAGCATGTATCGGTGTGTGATGTTTTCTGCACTGAAGCAGGCTTTCCCATTTGAAAGTTAGGGGTGTGCTGTTTAATCTGGGCTCCTAGCACTTAGGACTGATACAAGCTACTTTATCCTAATGTGTCAAGGTGCAGCCTGGGGCTAATTAAAGTCATTTAGTTCACCCAGCCTCCAAGAAAAGGGCTTTGTTAGACTTTCAAACAAGAGTTGTTTGAGTTCTGCTAACTCTTTTGAATTGATAATGACTTTTGAAGAGCTTGCCCCCTGCCACCAGATCCTGCAGAAGATGGCAAAGAAGAGTAGACATGATCCAACCCCGATTTTAATGATAAACCACGTGTCTCCTATACTTGACCTGGCTTTTGTATATTTGTATAGTTTTTTACAGTTTTTTTGTGGCTTATGTTCAGCTCTTCTACAGAACTAAAAATTTGAGAGACTGCAAGAGCATTGTGGAGAAATAAATATATACTTTTTAAAGCTTAGCGTTCAGTATAAGTTACTGTTTTAACTTTTATCTTGGTTTACTTGAGTTCCTCAGTGACTCCTGCATACTCTGAGGCTGTTAGCTTTTGATTGCCTTGTGCTTGTGTGAGACTTGTGTGATCATGCTTGTTCTGCAGGATCCTTAGTTTTCTAATAGACCGAAGCAGATAATCAGTTTTGTAATAGACTGAAGCATCTTGAAAATACATCCATGTCATGTCTTTATTGAAGTAAAAGCTTTTAATGATGACCACTTTACCCAAAGATGTGAAAGCTGGATTTGAAAAGACACTGGTGAGGTGGAAGGACAGGTGTCACTTGCTACTATTTAGAGGTGAAGTAAAATTGAAGCAAACTGGGTTGTTCTAATAAATCAAGCCCCTGAAAGCCTGGGGAGCAATGAACTGCAAAAACCAAATAAAACTTGTTACTGTGAAGGGCCTGAGGATGTTGCAAAACTTTTGGGGTAACTTATATGAAAGAGTGGTATTGTGGAAAAGAAATGATGGGTTTTAAACTCTCAGGGGTTCTGTTCTGCTTCTGTTCTTCCTTAGAAGCACCACAAATGATAAAGTATATTTGAGCTGATGAAAAGGTGAGCATTTACACATAAGGAGAATTTAGAGGCAGCTCTAGAAGCTCAGCCTGGTATAGCTACAGGGAAAGTGGTGAACACTGTCTAAAAGCCTCTTCCTAAAAACGCTACAAATGGAAAGGTTGTTATAGAGAAGCAGTTAAAGTTGTTTGAGAAGTAGCAAATGAAGATTTATTTTTAACAGATTTTTTTTTTTAAATATGTAAATTAAGGGGAATAAGCTTGTGATGATGTGCTGTACAAACTACAGACTTTGACATGCCACAAAATAACAAAGAAACCTCATTTTCTGATTATTCTTTAGTGAACTGAAGCACAGTGCTAGTAAGATACCGAACAGGCAGCCTGTTCAGTAAGTAGCTGCATAAGATCTTATCTGCATTCCCTGTTGCAAAGCTTGGGTACCTGTGGGCTCAGCTAGCGCCCTGCTAGCAGGTGTTCCCTTGGTGCAGAGAGGCCAGGAGATCTTCATGATCTTAGTAACTGTATTAGTTACTGAGTTACTAAGCCTTTCTGGCAAAGCACAGATTCTCAGCATGCAGAAATGCTCTCCTACCCCTTCGTTAGCCTGAATGAAGTACTCCTGGTGCTGGTAAGGACTCGTTTGTGTGAGGGCAAGGGCTGGCCTAGTTCCGATGCTCAGTCTGAGAGCAGGGGTGGGCATTCCCGAACGGGGAATCCCAGCCAAGGCAGAGCAGGGCCTGTGCTGCTTCAGGTCCCACGGCTACAGGCTCTTTCCTTTGCCATTTGACCAGCCAAACTAACTGTAGTCCTCATTCACAGTTTCTCCTCTAAAATTGCCTGGGAGCCAGCAAAACCTCCTGCACTTTTATCAGAGCTGCAGGTCATCTGCATCAACTCCTGTGCTAGTTGAGTTCATCAGCCCCCTGAGAGACATGCAGCTGCAAGCTGGGAAAGGGAGAAGGACTAAGAGCTACTGTTAAAAAAATTAAATCAAGGCTGCTCTCCCAGGCCAATGGTTAAGGAACACTGTTGGTGAAGACCTTAACAAAGACTCTCTGGATTCGCTCCAACTTACTTGTCATTAAAAAGTTGAAACCTGATGGAGCAGGAACATAAGAGGCTGTGGAAGGATGCAATGTGCATGCTGTACACAAAAGAAGCTCGGGATCAAATAGTTGCTTATGTGGTATACATCCACCCTGCTGTAAAATCTCATAAAAGAGCAAAATGTGGTGTTAAGGAGCTGCTAAAATTGCTCTTGCTCCTAATAAATAAATATGCTTGCTCTGCACAGGTAAAAGAAAACCCGCATGTTTACATCAGGAACTGCAGTCTTAAAGCTAAGGCCCAGATTTTTTTCATGTAGTAGTTTCTTGGCAAAATTATTGAAAAGGTGTTTGCTTGGGTGCATTCCCATCCCAGTGGGAGAGTACCCCTGGGTGTGTGAGTGGGGGTGCTGCTCTGGGGCTGGGGCAGCTGCTTTAGCTCCAGCCGTGCCCCTGCTGCTAACTTTTGAGCTCAGCTATGTAGGGGAAGCTGTAACAGCATCCAGCTATTCTGAAAATGAGAAAAAAAAAAAATTCTGAGAGAGAGTGCTAAAGCAAAAGGGTCCAGGCAAATAGAAAATAAAATTATAGATAAGACCCCAAAGACTTATAGAAGATTTCCAGATCCAAAAGCTTGCCTGCTTTCTTTTTGTTTTGGTTTGTTTTTGGTTGTTGTTGGGGTTTTTTTTGTTTGTTTGGGATTTTTTTCCAGCTATCATTGGTCTGATAAAAACAAGTTCTCATTAGAACAGTGCTGTGTTTTGCAGGTCTGTAGGTGTTTGCTTGGGGAGCTATACCTGCTCCATGCCACCCCAAATATATTGCTGAACAATTTGTGGCTACAAAAGCTTTAATCCAGCAATATACTTAGTAGCAAAATTTAACATGGTAAAGAAGGGTCATGTATAGTGTTGAAAATAAATTTAAGACGAGGATAAACTGGTTGTATCACTGTAACTGGTGTTATATCACACCACATCACAGAGGTTTTCCCCATGCCATGGGATTTCTAAAGGCAAAACGTATAGTCTGAAGAACCTCTGAAGGGGAACAATCAGCTGGAAATTCAGTTGGTTATTGTTACTACAAAGTAGTTTCACTTTTGAGCTTATTTTTTAAATTTAAAGAATTATTTTATAAGGATGCTATTTTGGTTAAATCTGTATGAATATCACAACTCCCTGATTTTTTTAATGGGGATAAAAAGAAGGGGAATGCAAAGCCAGCTAAAGCCCAGTGCTTGTGAATGACCTCTATAACTAGGATTTTAAATTTAATTTATAAAATAGAGAATGAGAACAAGCTGAGACCTGCCAGCAGAAGTAAGACCCACCACCATGACCCTGCACTGACCAATTTATTAATCTCAATTTATGAACACACAAGTATCCACTTAAAAAAATTAAATACCCAGAGTTGACAATAGATGTCAGCAGTATCTCCAGCTACCAAATGCTGGAGATGGGGGCAACACTCATTCTGCCTTCTTCCAGTTTATTTATTTAGGTAACATGCAGCGAATATGTAAGTCTATGGATGAGGGACTGAAATTTCTCGTTATTTCCTGAGAGTCAGTGTTATCTTGCCAGGTAATGGTCTCCCCAGGAAATCAGCAAAATCACCCACTGTTTCACTGGCTGAATCACTGTGGCTTGTTCAAACCCAGTGCTGGAGGGGCAGGGACAGGCAGTGAGGGAAACCTGCTCCCCTCAACAGATTTTTTTTTTTTTCTTCCCATCTTCAACATATGGAGTTTTCTGCAGACAGTTCAAAACAATCTTCTGACCCCTGACCTTGAGAATGATGCAGCCCTGAGAGCACTAATGAGTGTTAAACTGTCCTGAACAGCCTTGTTTGGGACCCACACCCACACCTGAAAGGTTCAGGAGCATCTTCTGACCCAGGCTGGGGGCACCTGGACCTTTGCTGTGTGATGTTGAATGGACCTACACTGTGAGCAGTTCATTGCTGGTCCCGTCAACTTGATGGCTCTGGGTCTATCAAGCCAACCCAGGGCAGCAGAAGCAAGGTTTCTCTTCGGAGAGAAGGGCTGATTCCCTACAGAATGGCCAAAACATTCCTTCTCCCTCCGTGCTGGGGCTTGGGCTGAGCCGCTGCTGGATGGGCAGCGATGTTGGAAGTGGGAAAGGGGAAAAGGGTGAGGGGGGGCTTGGGGGAAGAGCAGGCAAGGGGGATGTGGAGATGGGGTGAGAGTACAGAAGCTTCGCTGCTGGCACGACCAGCTGTGTGTCTCAGGAGGTGCTTCACAAACAACTGGAGCACAAACAGGGTGTTTAGGAGAGGAGATAGTAGTGTTTAGATGAGAAATCCTAAGGGTCTAATATGTTCAATTTTAAATCTTAGGGGAAAAAATGGTCTTTGTCTGGGCAAGCTAGCATGGTGGGATAGACCACATCCTTTTCCATCCCCATCACCTGAGGCTTTTCCCTCTTCACAGCATGGGCTAGTCCCAAAGTCCTGCTGCTCCAGAGCGTATTTTTGAGCTTTTTCCAGCAGAGTCCTTCTGCCCTCGTGTCCGAAACAGAACAGACCAAACGTTGGCTCTAGCTCGGCTGTGCTGGAAGGATCTTCTGCTCTCCCCGAGACGGGGCCGTGCCGGGGGCAGCTGGTCGGCGGGGACAGCAGATGTCCCTGCCACGGGGACGCAGGTGGGGGGGTCGGAATGGGCCATCAGCTGTCAGGTTGCTGCACTCTTGCCCTGACGTGGGAAATCCAGTGTGAAACCTCAGGGACCTCATCCCCCATATGAGCGGTTTTCATCTCTTTTTCTGACTTTCAAGGCTTTTCCTAAAAAAAGACACTACTGTTACCAGACTATGCTGCACTGTGGTATGTATAATATCCCTTTAATGTTGCTGGCTTTTTTACTTCCCACTCCTTGAAATAAAGCCACCCTGCTGTGGATGCTGCAGTTTTGAGTTCAGATGCTGGTTGCTTATGCTGAGGGAATTGCACAGGATGCCCTCTTGCACAGGAGCACTATTAATTTCAGTAAATGCCAAGCCTGCTCACATATATTCCTGCTCTGGATTGAATGATTACAGGGGCTGTTTCCTTTGGAAGAGAGAAGGACGAGACCCTGGTACCTTCTTGCTCTATGTGGTTGCTCCTTTGCTCTCACTCTCCTGCCCAAAAATGCTGTTTTAATCTTTGTTTTTTCTTTTACTTTCTCTTTGCATGCTCACAGCCAGCATTACCCGAAGGGATACGAGGTTCCCCCGGCCCACGATACTCCAGTGCTTGCGCTGGGGTGGTGCCTCCCTGTGCCTGATCCTGAACAGGAGCTTCATTGTCCTTCCTGCTGCCTCGGACAAAGGGGTATTGTCCTGCCCACCAGCTCCAGCCGTCCTCCCCACAGCAACGAGCCAGTTCATCCCAACTGGAGATGCTGCAGCAGTTTTAAGAATAAAAGCAGGATGTTGCCTTTCTGTTAATAATAAGGTGCTTGGGAATCGGTCCAGCTTCTCACCTGTCTTGGTCAAGGATGAGGAGATGAGTATCGACTTGTAAAACCTCCAATGGGGCAGTTTTTGGGTCAGCTGCAAGCTCCCTTCACCCACATATGTCTTTCAACATGCGGGCCAGTCTTCTGGTAAGCTCCCAGGGGATTATCACAGGGCTAATGAGAATCAGCATGTTCAATATGACTTATCAAAATAATTACTCAGACTGAAATTG